TTCGGCCATTTGAATAGTAGTCCTAACAGGGAGAGTTATCCCATTGCTTTTCCTTAAGGTAACTATTCTGAGCTTAAGGGACAGAGAGCCTCTGATGCAGTTTCTTAAACAGTACCTTGCATTATTGAAGTGTGTAGTCAATTTTACATGAAAATTATTGACAGTAAAACTTAGAAAGAGAAACTAGAGGGATCAAATTATAAATGATAACATTTCCAAATATGAAATAGGCTTAATATTTCTGTTTTATTCATTGAATACAAGGGAAAAGAGTAGAAGATGTTTACAAGTAATATTCAATAAAAAGATTAAAATGTGTTTTAATGCTTTTTGCCCTTTATATTAAGCCTGTAAGTACTCTTTGACCCCACTCCCACGTGCTAAACCTGGTTTTCTCTGAACACATCACTTTATGAGATGTAGACTTCCACAGCTTATTCTAAATGTCTGTTTATCTGTACGTCATTCCCTCATCTATCAGTATCCACAGCAGAGTGTCAGTTGCCATCATCTTTGTTTTATGAGAATACCATCTGGAATAAAGAATGAAACGATAGAAGAGAATGTGAAACATCTCATAAGAAAAACAACTGATCTGGAGAACAGATCGAGAAGAGAAAACAGAAGAATAATTAGACTACCTGAAAGCTATAATCAAAAAAGAATCTTGATATAATAATAAAGAAATAATTACAGAAAATTGTCCTGAAGCATTAGAACAGGAGCAGAAAGTAGAAATAGAAAAGATTCATTGATCACCACCTGAAAGATATCCTATGAGGAAAACACATAGGAATATTATAGTCAAATTCTGAAACCCCCAGCTCAAGGATAAAATATTACAAGCAACAAGAAAAAAAATAGTTTTAATATAGCAGTGCCACAATTAGAATCACCCAAGACCTAGAAGTGGTGACACTTAAAAGACTGCAGGTCTTGGAACACTATATATTGAAGAGCAAAAGAACTGAGGTTCTGGCCAAAAATAGCATAACCAGCAAAGCTAAGTATAATTCTGAATGAAAAAAAATGGACGTTTAATGAACTGTCAGACTTTCAGGACTTTGTTTTTAAAAAATGGAACTTAATAGAAGATTTGACATACAACAGCCAAGAGAAATCTAAGGTACATACCAAACACTAATTACTCAATAAGGACAGATTGTTTACCTTTTAGGTATGTAAAATGTAAAATGTATGTCTAAGATTGTTACTAGTAATTAGGTAGTTCATAAGAAGATTGGGGGTAGACCTGAGTATGATATGATTTATGAAGTAAAGGTGTTTAGGAAAAGCTAAAAAGGGTAATTATTTTATACCAATGAGATGCGAGAGGAAGAACAGAAACAGAGGATTAGATGGGGGAGGAGGGCTGTTCTAGAAACCTTTTATTTGGAATACAGACACATACACACATATATATGTGTATGAATGTATAAAAGTTTTCTAAATTCAGAAAGAAATAAAACACTAAGGAGATAGGGAGAGGGAAGAGGATAAGGAAGGGATCTCTAGAGGGGAGGGTGAGAGAATAGTTTAAAGGGGGCTATAGAAGGATGTTTAGATTAATGGGAATGAGAGGACAAGGGAGGGATCCTTGGAAGGGGGGGTGGGTTAGGTAATAGGAGGGCAAGGTAGCAGGAAGAAGTAAAGTAGAGGAGTTAGAAGGATTAGGAAATAAAAGAAATGCACAAATATAAAAACAAGAATCAGAAGTAGAATTTGTTAGAGAAAGTACACATCTATACATGTATGTATGTATCTATGTATATATCTGTATATCTGTATCTATATGTAAATATATCTGTGCTTAATTGTATCGGGGGGAATGTAAGGAGAAAAAAAAAACAAAGTAAAAAGTGCACAGCAGACCACAAAAGAAAACTAACAAGGAAGCAAATTAAAGATGGAGAGCTCTCAACAAAATGAGCAGGCTTTCTTGAAATGGAAATTTATTGCTATATATTTTGAATCCTCTCATATTCTGCTGTGCATGTGACATGCTTTTTTTTCTTTTCTTATTTTGTATTTAAGTTTTAATATTTATAATATTTCTTTTTTCTTTTCTTATTGTGTATTTAAGTTTCAGTAATAAGAGAGGGAGGGAGAGAGAGAGAGAGAGAGAGAGAGAGAGAGAGAGAGAGAGAGAGAGAGAGAAAGAGAGAGAGAGAAAATGCCCCTTGAATTTGGATTACCAATCTGGAGTTGCTACTAGATAGGTCAGAAAATTAGGTTACTAATGGAGTGTCTACACTACTTTTCTTTCTTTGATGTTCTTTTCCTTCTATCAGATGTGTTCATCTCAAAACATTTAAGGGAACACTAAAAAAAAAACCTTCATCCTTTTGATTTCTAACTTTAATACTCTGGTTTGTCATCAAAAAACCTCTTAGTAAAGATTTAACATAATTACAGTCTCCTTGAATTATGCTAATAAACCCATTTGCTTTATGTTATTTCCTATAGGGTTTCTTCTGAGGAATTTTCTGTTATCTTTGTGAAAAATTTTGGGAAAATATTCTCATTGATAATTTTGATCATGGGAATTTGACTAATAATGGTTATTCAAATACATTTGTAAGTAGAAAAGGCATTCAGCAAGGATCTATAAAGCATTTACTACGTGCAAGGCACCACCGTAGGTATGAAGCACACAAACACAGAGAAAGAGAGAGGGAGGGAGAGAGAGAGAGAGAGAGAGAGAGAGAGAGAGAGAGAGAGAGAGAG